TTACCGCTCATCAGTTTAGTGTTATCAGTGATTGATGGCCCTAAAATGATTGCTCTCACTGCGACGTTCGCGGCGATATGTAACATGTGTAGCGCAATTGTAATTTTTGCGCGCTGGGGAACCGGACGCGTATTTACGTTTATAGGCGCGTATACGTGGGGGTGGGGGAGTTAAACATTTTGGAGGGTTTTTTCCCCCTTTTTTTATATGTGACTTTTATTTTATTTTACTTTTTTATATGTTACTTTTATTTATTTTTTATATATTTTTTTACACTTATTGTTATTGCTATTATATAGGGGGATAACAATCCAGAAAACAATCCAGAAAACAATTGCCGTCTGCAGACGGCAACCCGCCAATGCTGCAGTGCCGTCCGTCCATTTATCAATGTATTAATTGCAATTCATTAAAGGAGAACTATGAGGTGAGTGCTTTTCACTCACCTCATAGTTCTAGCCGACCTGTGACAATGAGACTGTCACAGGTCGGCTCAGTATATCGGGAGGTGAGCGAACACATACCCACGCTCACCTCTCGATCCTGTCACGGCTCTCTGTTGTGACAGGGAGGGACTGGTTTCCCCCCTCCCTGCTCCGATCCGCCAGCGCTGACTGGCGGAACGGACAGGGGAGGGGGCGGGTACAGCTGGCTCTGCCTCTAGGTAGGTAGAGCCAGCTGTCACTCACGCAGCTGGGCGGATCCAGACATAATTATCGGGATCCGCTTCAGCTGCGGCGTCTTAGTATACCGCGAGCAGCAGCTCGCGATATACAGCGGCGTCTCAGTATACCGTGAGCTACAGCTCACGGTATACTGAGCCTTGGGTGACGGGAGGACGCTAGTTTGTGCCCTCCCATTACCCTAAGGAGAACTAAGGGGAAAAGCCTTAACCCCATAGTTCTCCTTTAAATACTGCATTAAATTTCATACAGTCACTTGTCAGATAGGTGATTACCATAAAGCGAATGGGGTGCTTGAAAATATTTCCAGGGTATAAGATTGATCTTCTAGAGTATGATTTTTGTTTGCAGTTTCACGTTACATATTATACTATTTGATGCTATATGTTCTATATGTCTATATGTCTATATGCCCTTCTTACCATCTTGTCTTGAATTGTATTGTGATTGTAATGTCTTCCTTATATTGTAAAGCGCTGCGCAAACTGCTGGCACTATATAAATCCTGTATAATAAAAATAATAGCAATAATAATAATAATACATGTGACTAAATATTGATAGCTTAAAATTAAACAGCTTCTTCGAAGAAGTAAAAATGATTGCTGTATGGAAAACTCACCGGTGACCACTCCTGAGCAAGCCATTTGGGGCAATCAAAAATATTGCAGGGCTGGACAATAGGCATCTTTGGAGTGTACATACATTTCCATTCCTCAACGGAGCTGATATGACCCTGCATGTCCTCCTCCACACAGGAGATTGTTCTACTTTGGATGCCTCCGCCACAAGATGAAGAGCAAGCAGTCCAGGGAGTGCTTTCCCATCTTAGCAAAAAGAAGAAAATAGAAAGTGTAGTACATATTATAAATATATATTTCTTTATTAATGAGAACATATCAGACTCTAAATTAAAAGAAAACACAAGCAGATTTACTTACCTGAACCCTGCTCCCCCACTGGCCAGTGCTCTCCTTTTCTCCCACTATGCTATGGAACATCTAATGCACGTCTATGGAACTTGCATTAGACACAATGACATCAGCAGTCCTTAGACTGCCGGAGCTCAGGGGGGAAAAGGCTTTGGAGACCCATCTAGCAGCCCCAAGGGAGCCGGCAGGAACAAGGATCAAATAAATAAATCTGCTTTACTCCAGTCCCCTAGACAAAAATGAATACTTAACCCTTGCAGTGTGGTGGTAGCCCAACTTTAAGGATACTTTTTTTTTTTGCCCGGAGATGGGTTGTAAACATTTTCTTGATTTAGCAATGAAAAAAACTGAACATTTCTAAAGGAACATCATTGGCTAAAGGATTATGGGCACATGGACATCTAAACCTTGAAACAGAGACACACAGCTTCATGCTGTGGCCTCTGTTTATATGCTGGCAAGTATTTAAACATGAAAGATAGTCTCCATTTATTTTTATATTGAACCAAGGTTCTCGTGCAAAATTGCCTTGAATTCAACCAGAGTTAAACTCTGTGTGTCCATCACAGTGTATTGTAGTAATACCCTGCTCCTTGTACAAGACAAAACTGAACGTAAAATGCATAACTGAATTTGATTTTTTTTTAAATCAAATAAAGCAAATAAATAAAACTTAAAAATATGGCATGACAATCTATGTAGCTCTCACAAACTCCAGACTGTGATAACAGTGATTATCCACACAGTGGTTTCTATCATGAGAGAGAGATACCGGACATTGAAAATCTAAAACATTAGCATTGCAGGAGGTAGGTGAGTGAGCAAAGAACAGCATCAGATTATGCTGTTTCCAAATTGTCAGCAAAATACAGATGCTAATATGTAACAGTTTTTTGTTACGGTGCAAGGCAAAGCCTATGATAAAAGTGACACGAGAACTGAAAAAGCTTTTGCTACTGTATGTTTTTAAATATATTGTATAAGAAACAATAGTGAGCATCCGGTTTCCAAGCAAGCTGGATGGGGACTCTCTTCAGATCATTAAAGCAGTCCTGACTTTAGACCTGTAAGATGAGATTTTAAACTAATATTTTTACACTCAGGAGAAGCCAAGCTGGAAGCTTAGGTCATTGAAAAAATGATCTCAGAAGCAGGAGCAATGCAAGAATCAGGTTACTTCAAAAACGACTCCTGACTTCTACTGTGCAGTGGTTCTTTTTAACTATTTCTAATCTCTGCTATATGAACCAGTGTGGTAACTCCAGGGGACACAAAATAATGTTAAAGTCTTAGTAATAATAAAAGATAAAAATACTGGTATTTTCAGTAGGCCTAGCAGAATAATGCCTCCCAAGAAATCCCTGATGTCTGAAGTTGAGCTGAATGGTACAATGCATACAACAATAGAGTGAAGCTTCAGCTGTATACCTGAAACCACATTTTTTTCGGTTTTGGATAGATTAGGAAAGTTAGAACCCCCTCAGGTATTGCTGTGTTCTAATGGGGAGATTTCTCATCACTTCCTGTCCCAGGGACATAGCAGCAAAAGAGAGGCAATCACTCCAAAGTAAGGGACAATCCCCTCTTAGATAGTTGTCACTGGAACAGCTACGGGATAACCATTGGAAGATTCCCCCTCACCTCCTGTACTGGTGACAACTAATTATGGATTTCTCATCACTTTTGCCTCGGTGTCAATCATCACCAGAGCAAACAGAGAGCATGCATTTTCCCAGTAAGACACAGATATAAAAAAAAAAAAAAAAAGGCTGAGGTTTTAACCATTCCTGCTCTATCCACAACTGGCTTTTTGTGTTGTGCTAAAAGTAAGGTAGAGTGCAATGATCCCTTAAGGCTCATCTCTTTAGAAAAGCCTACCCCACCTTAACCTAACCACTCAACCATCACGTTGTCAAGCAATTCATCCCCACACAGCTTCCTCCTCATCTATCACTTGCTCCTCCCTCTTAGATTGTAAGCCCTCACGGGCCTTACCATCCTGTCTTGAATTGTATTGTGATTGTAATTTCTTCCTTATATTGTAAAGCGCTACGCAAACTTTTGGCGCTATATAAATCCTGTAAAATAATAATAATAATAATGTCAATATCACTGGTTATAGTCCCTATCATTTGTTTTGCCCTGTCTGCTTCTGGGACTTTATTTTCCACATGTTCCATCAGTATTGCTGCTCCATTGTTGAAGGTATTTTAATGCTCCCCGTTATACTACTGTATATATACTCATAATTGCCTGCCCTCTCACAATACGGCTGCTATTATAAATTTTTTCATCAAGAACAGTTAAGACAGACAGTAGGTCAGGAATGTTGTTGGTCTGCCTCAAACAACTTGGAGATGAATATAAAGACGACAATGTAACTTTGTGGCGTTTGTGCAGAGAGTTTTGTTCACATCTCGGTTGATGCCACTTGGAAGATGAATATGGCAGTTGTAATTAAAAAAGTTCAGAAGCGACTGTACTTTTTGAGAATCTTGAAAAAGACACAGATAGCAAAGAATTTGTTAGTGTCTTTCTACCTCATAATTTGGTACAGCAAAATTACAGTTGAACACAAAAAGTCTCTTCAAAGGTTGATTACAGTGGCCCAGAGAAACAATGGTAGTCAACATAGGCGTGCGCATGGGGTGTGCCAGGTCTACATAGAATAATGTAGATCCCATCGCACTCCTGACACCCCAAAGTGCGGGGTGGGGGGATGGTGCTGGAGTGGCCGCAGATGCCTCTGCATTTCAGATACTGTAACTGGTAGAAAGTCACTTGCACTGCAGAAACATTTGTAGTCAATCTTCTTTATTGACCATCAAAGTGTTACATAACTTTAGCATAAAAGTACTAACTTAAGCACTTTAGTTAAAGCTAAAGTAATGTGACACTTTGATGGTCAATAAACAAGATTGACTACAAAAGTTTCTACCAGTTCCAGGTGTACATAGGGCATTCTCTGTTTTGCCTGAGGAAGGGACCTTGTGGTTCCGAAACGGCCCCCTTTTGATGATGTGACACTATAGAAGTCAATAAATATTGTCCACTATACACGCTGGAGTGCTAGTGACTTCTTTTCATTCAGGTGTACATAGGCACACCCTAATTACCCCTGTGCGCAACTGCAGTACTAGCGGGCGCCAGCAGGGAGATAAGATGATAATGAACTTGGTGTGTAGGGGCTGCCACAGGCATACCAGGAATTCCACTGCTGTCCGGAGTGTACTGTTGAGAACAGAGGAGGTGCAGGGCTTAAAGGAGGTGAGACACTGTAGAGGTGAATGACCTGTCTGCATCTGGTACACATGAGCAAACTTCTATACAAAAAATAAACATAGAAAAGGAGGCTGCAACAACCAGCCTACTGCTCATTGTTTGACTGTAATGTGGATCTTTTGGACCTAATATTTTATCATTGCTAGACTTTTATTGTAGAAAAAAGAAAGATGTACACAGGCAGCCAAGTACAAATTATAGTCTTAGGTTACCATTTGCATTGTTGCAGAGAACATACTTGTGCAAAATCTCAATCAAAAGTGCCGATTTATATTATAGGTTGCCTAAGTAATCAGTTTGTTGATAAAAGGACACATGAAGTATGTATTGCTTAGCAGAGTATGTACGCAGGTTTAAAAGTACAAAATGTTGCTTGAACTATTATCATAGCAGACAGGAGAGACTTGTCCGTGGAGTGAGAGACAGAGAGGGAGAATGGAGGCAACATGAAGGGTGTTGTGTATACTAAGTGTGGTTCTTGTACTGGGGGTGCTGCGCATACTGGGGTGCATTGTGATTCCTGTATTGGGGTGCGGAATATATTGGGGTGCTATTTGGTCTATTTGGGGTGCTGCATATAATGGGGTGTATTGTGGTTCCTGTATTGGGGGGTGTTGCATATATTGGAGTGCATTGTGGTCCCTTTATTGGTGGTACTGTATATAATGGTGTTCATTTTGGTCCCTGTATTGGGGGGTGCTGTATATAATTAGGTAGGGCTGACGCCGCTGGTAGGCAAACTAGGCAGTTGCTTCCTAGGGGGCAGCCAGTCAGCTGATTGGATGATGTTTGCCGGAGACTGCATGAAGCTGTCTTTTGCACACTTCAGTCAATCTGGTCCATGAATAGGATTAGGTAGCCAACCAATGAGGTGTCACACAAGCCGCGCTGTATGCAACGTCACCGCCTCCTGCAGTCTGCAAGGGGGGTTCAAGTAGCTAGTCTTGCCTAGGGCACAAAATAGTCAGTCTAGCACCAGCCCTCTCTGTGTGCATTCTCAACAAGCGGTACTGACAGCTGTGGGAGCTGCTTTAGTGCTGGACTGGTTGGAGGAGCATCTTTCTAATCTCCCCACCGGCCCCTCTGAATAAATTGCCCAAAGAGAAGGAGCACTTGTTTGTTTAATTTACTACTGTGTGTGTCTGTCTTTGTATGCACGCATTAGTATGTTAGTGTGTGTGTGTAGATAGATTATAATATATATATACAGTATATATATAAGGTGTAAGGTGTATGGCCACCTTTAGTACCTTTATATATAATACGTGAACGTTTGTGCGGTTGGGTGGAAACCCTAATGTAATATGGTAGTCAGTTTTCTACTTTGGAAGATATTTATCATTCCTGCCATTGTATGTTTACCCTCCTGCCATCTGGCAGGCGTTATAGGATGATAGAAGCCTGCACAGTTATGGTAAGGTATAGTTTTTACCCTGGTGCCATGGTACATCTGAAGCAATCACTACATACAGTAATTACAAGTAATTGGCTATTTTGAAATAATACATAGACTCTTTTTATATAAAGGGTTAAAATGATATTAAAGCCAAAAGGTTTTTTTTCTATTTAAAATTCTGATAAAATCACTTACAATGGATGTTGCTCCTTAATGTTTAAAAGTTTTAGTTTCTTGCAGAATCAGCTGGTCCCCTGAGCACTGGCCCTGATATTCTGTTTTAGGATGGCTTCTTTCTCTTGCAGGGTCCTATGAAGCCACCTTTGCGTGTGTTAGTAAGCTGTGGGTGTCTCCACAAACACACAGACACAGCGAGGCAAGACACTCCCTCCCCCAACTCCCTCTCCTCTTTTATTCAAGCTAGTAATTGAACAGTTACTGGAGTCTGCTCTGTCCCTTGTGATCTTGTACTGGACAGGAAGTTCGGGGAAACTGAGCTGAGAAAGTTGGAGCAAGCTGTTCGGATACATGATTACTGTAAAGCTGCCCATACTCCTGAAGGGTGATCCAGTGATCATACGATAATCGTAAGGTGTACAGGCAGCGTTTACTGTAGAGTCGCATGACTTTCCTCTTACGAGCACGCTAGAAAACCCGCCGAAAATCGTACGATTTTCGGTGGGTTGGTAGCATGATCGCAAGACGAAAGCCGTACGGGCCGAGGTGCGCAAGCGCACACTGCCCGCTCACCATTGCAATCATCTGTGAGCCCTCCCCTCAGCGGGGAGGAGTTGCGATGATCGCAAGTACGAGATGGGCAGGTCGTACAAACTTTTAATCACCTAACAACCATCGCACAACAAAAGTCGTGCGATGGTTGTAAGGTGTATGGCCACCTTTAGTGTTTGGGCAGAAATGTAAAGAAATACTTTGCTGGGCAATGTATATGTGTTTAATCTGGATTCCTTATTGAAAAACCATTTGAGAGTTTAATATTACTTTAAATATTATTGTGTAGCTGTGTTAAATATTTGATGCACCATTCAGAGAATGCAAAAGGAAATTGGTTGTATGTTTTTATATAATGACAAAAAAGTCTTATCTGAATCTTATCTATCTAACCCAGTAAACTTATCATTTATCAACACAGCTTTAACATCATTTGACATTGTGGTTCATTCCAGCAGTAAAGCAAGTGTTAGAAATGGAATGTGAAAATAAAAAATGGAGAATGCAACTTTGAAAATGACTGTAACAATTTACAATGATGCACTGAGATGATGCAAATCTAACATTGTATAATAATATAAAGGTAGAAATAAATGGATTTGCTGATTAAAGTAAACACAGGTTTCTTCTTTCTTTCTGCCTGATTAACCTTTAGCAAACCCTTAAAAATGGAGATGTTTTATAAGCCCATAATTCACCATTAATTCAAACATAATGATATATCCACAGAAGTAGAAAACTATTTGAGGATATTGGTATGGAAGCAAAAACGAGGAAGCACTTTAAAACGTTAACATAATTTAAAACAATTTCAAACATGATTAGTGATTTTACACTCTGTTATGCTAACATGATGAACAACATTTCTGTCTGCAGCAAATTAAGAGACCAAAGCTTGCCTGAAATGGCTTTCAACATTGACTCACAATGTAAGTAATTCCTGCAGTGGTGAATGGAAATGGCTGTCACTCACTGTCTTCCTTCATTGTATTGGATCATGCATGTCTCTGCTAAAACCCTGAATTGCCGTTACTCAGCATAAGACTCTTTACAGGCCTAGGCTAACCAAAGAATGCCAACACTCATAGAACGAATACAAGAGAACATGCTGTATGTCTGTATGTAAAAATACTATGACCAAGGAAATTGTAATCCAGTTAACTAAGTCAAAGACATGTTAAAAAGAAGCTGTCTCCTACCTATGTAACAAGCCTACACATCTCTAGTTTTTTCTATTTTCAGCATTGCACACACTGGTTATTTTCTCAGTATTATTAGTAGTATTTCTCAGTTGACACTTACTGTGCACTGGGCCTGTGTTGGATGCCCGATGCCATTTTTTCTATAATAGTTGGACCTGGGCCCCCGCTAGGATTTTTTCTTCCCATCTTTTGTTTACTGAAATATACTATGACCACTATATGTTGTATTGGATTGTTATTAATACATTTTTTTAATTTTTTGTTTGTTAAAATTGTTATTTTTGTTCTTCCATATAACTTTAAAAAAACGTAATATAAATATTTGACAAAAAAAAAAAGTATTTCTAAATAGTAACAAATATGCCTTGGCATTTTCACGTTTAACAGACTGTATTAGACATGATGACTCACAGGTCCTTAGAATGCCAGACTAGATCCTTGCAGTGATAACACCAAAGATTGCTTTTTAACTGTACACAGTATAAGCGTTCATTCAGGAGTTCTATTTATTGCAAACAAAAGATGGACATACCTGGGAAGGGGGTGATAAAGATCATAGGGCATTATTTGCTTGTAACCGTCACTGTAAGACAAAAAAAAAAAAGGTATTATTAATACAAAAGGAATGCAGAAAAACACCATAACAAGATTTAACGGGCCCATTCACAGCAGTCAGGTCCAATGCTATATGTTGTCTGTTAATATGTAAGGCACCAGGTACCACAACAGACCATTAATTCACACATGCAGTATTTTATATAGCACATCACAGTGCATGATAGCAGTTATTGTGCATTGCACTGTGCGCATTATCGCAGCCTAATCGTGCAAATGTGTAGCTCAAGTTAGACACAGTCATCTCCTCTTTCTCTGTATGAGCCTGATTAGTAGATTGCATTTTGTGGTAAGTGTAATGCCGCCTCCAACAATGTTTTCTTGTTTTGTGATAATAATTACAAAGTATGATAACAATACCAAATTCCTTAGAACCTGTATGAAAGGCGACCATATCCATTTATTGTTCATAGGGCAGCATGCCAGTGGCGGAACTATCACCATAGCGACCCAGACGGACACTATGGGGCCCGGGGCACAGTGGGGCCCGGCCAGGACGAGGAACAAAGGGGTCCCCCTGATGGTGTGTGAGCCGCTTGGATCACTATGGCATCACAGGCTACTGGCTGTCACTGGCGGCTGTGAGGAGGAACGGGCTGCTGTTCAGATCATTGACAACATGTCAGTGATCTGTGCAGCCGTGCGTTCCTCCTCACAGCTGCTGCTGAGTCAGTGACAGCCAGCAGCTGTGGAGGAGAAGGCTGGGTCCGGCGTCGGCAGCGGAGGAGAAGGCTGGGCCGTGCATCGGCAGCAGAGGAGGCCAGGCCCGGCAAAGGAAGATGAGGCAGGGCCCGCTAGCAACCGTGGAGGAGGCGCAGCCCGGCGGTGGAGGAGGCTGACACAGTATCAGGGCTGACAGGTAAGAGGTGTGCAGGGGTGTGACCAGCCCACCTGAGACCCTGCAGAGCCCAGCATAGAGAGCCTATGGTGGCCTCTGCAGGGTCACTCTCAGGTGGGCTGTTTGGGATCTCAGGTGTGATCTGCAAGGGGCGTAACTAGAAATCACAGGGCCCATACAAAATTTTGCTCTGCGGCCCTGTGATTCCTAGTTACGCCCATGATCATTTACATTGATTGATCAATTTCATTTAAATGCATTGGATTTTTTATGTGTCCATGCACAGACGATGGTGGTTGATTACTTGTTACAATCATAGATTGTACTGTTGTTCAGTGGTAATATATATATACTTCTGCATGAAAGTTTATTTTTGCAGGCATGAACTGGCAGTCGGAGAATTCTGGCATTTGTTAAGAGCTAATATGTCCAAGGATATATGCAGGCTGGTGAGAAGTACTCTGGCTGCTTAGCCCCACAAAGGTCTGTTTTAATAAAATAAACACATTTACACACTGAGGATCTAAATCATAGTCAACTCTATGTTTAAGCTCTTCAGAGTAAAAGGAGGCCAAATGGAGGCGCTTGCAGGGGTTGTGCGGTGACTAATAAAGTTGGGGTGTAGCTGCCATTTCTGTTGATGGGGGAGCCAGTGCCTGAGATGGAAGAGACGCAGCACTTGTCCCTTAAGCGGGGTCACTACTATGTGTATGCTAAACACTTCCTGAGCAGACAACACGTTTGTTCTCCATGATCCCTGTGTGTGTTGTAAAGTAGCCACCGCTCAAAGCTCACTCCTGTGATGGACTACAATCTCAGTACAAATAGGTAAACTAAAGATGAGATTTTAGTCCATAACAGGAGCGAGCGTGGAGCGGTGGCTACTTTACAACACACACAGGGACCATGGAGGACAAAAGTAGCCACCCTCCAGAAGGAAGGACAGTGTCAGCACCAGTTCAGAGATGATTTGAGGATCTACAGCTGAGTGTTACACAAATAAGATACATTTTGTTAATAGTTAAGGTACTTGAATGTATTTTTAAGATTTAACTCCTGAGTTTAGTGTCACTTTAATATTATGGTTCAGTTAATTCTAGTTATCAACCATAAACAAACATATGTAATATGTGTAACAGTGCTGCTTGGTATGACCACTACAGATATATGCATACTAAAATAAAATAAGCTAAACTGAATATGTGTTTAAGGAGAAGCATCTGCATTCTATTGCAATTGAAAAGTAACTGTGACTCTATCAATCAAATGAGCTGACTCTATCAATCAAATACTGAGCTGTCACAACTGAGGTGGCTCCACATTTGTTTAACATTAACAGGCTTATTCAATAATGGAGGGCAAGAAGAAATAATGATGTGAATAGTGGAAAAGCCCATAGCAGGTCATTTGAGGAATGATTTGATAAACAGCACTAGTTCATAGCTATACAGAGTCACATTCAAGGCCCTGTTCCCTGAAGCCCTAATCTCTAGCAGCAAGTGTAACTACTGCTACTTTTACTGCTGTATCACATACACTTTACAACTATATTTTAAATTGTTTTTCAAACTTCAAGTTGCTGCTGGTTTAAAATCTAGTTAGTTAAATGCTAAAGTATTTGTAAATCCAACCACTAAAATCTCAAACTTTTTAACAGGTGTCTTTGTTGTATTCTGGTTTCCGTCAACCACTGGGGTATATTTTGAGTTAAACTGGGAGTTTTATCATGTATGTCATTACAAAAGTCATGTTTGAAATATTTGTATCGCACCTTTCAGTAAAATAATAGCTGGTGATCCAGCCATGAAGAACCTTATTCAGGCACTTTGTGTTATATGGAGAAAACGATGTGTCCCTATCTTCAAATTATTTTCCTGTGTTGTCACCCTGCCACGTAGGGTTGCCACCTGTCCAGGATTCACCCGGACAGTTCGGGTTTTGAATGCTCTGTTCGGGTTTCATGGCAGCAGAAAACCGGACACAAGATGTCAGACAGACAGGGGCAACCAAAATTAACATAGGGGCTACTGGCCCCCCACTGAAAATAGTCTCACCTGTAATATTTGCATATGAATGGGTGGCGCTATTTAGATATGAATAAGCCATTTTTCCCAAAAATTGTCTGCGCGTCTCTAAAGTGTTCGGGTTTCGCTTGAAGAAAAGGTGGCAACCCTACTGCCACATAAACTTCAAAATGAGGCTACAAGTGGCTGTTTCAGCATACAATACACAGGCATGGCCATCTGCTGTGACCATCAGGACACCTGCCTTGAAAAAAAGCCATGTAGCCATTACTGGAGTGCATGTAGACAGAAAGTGGCTGCAGAAGATCAACAGCACTGAGTTACAACAAAGGATGCAAAAAGTTGAAAACAAGTGTTTTATTTAAAAAAAATGACTATCATTAATAAAACACATTGCTTTAGCAAACTCGATATCCTTAAAGGAGAACTATGGGGTCAGTGTTTTTCCCCATAGTCCTCCTTAGGGTAACTGGAGGACACAAAATAGCGTCCTCCCGTTACCCTAAGCTCAGTATACCGCGAGCTACAGATGACGGGATCCGGGATCAGCTTAGATGACGGGATCCGCCCAGCTGGCTCTGCCTATCTAGAGGCAGAGCCAGCTGTACCCGCCCCCTCCCCCGTCCGTTCCGCCAGTCAGCGCTGGCAGATCGGAGCGGGGAGAGGGGAATCCAGCCCCTCCCCCTGTCACGGCAGAGAGCCGTGACAGGATCGAGAGGCGAGCGAACCCGGTATGTGTTCGCTCACCTCCCGATCTACTGAGCCAGCCTGTGACAGTCTCATTGTCACAGGTCGGCTAGCACTATGAGGTGAGTGAAAAGCACTCACCTCATAGTTCTCCTTTAATTTAGGGTTGATCTCTACTTTAAACTTATTGTCAAGCTTTCTTTTGCAACTGTAATGATTATAAGATAAGAAAATTGTTCTTTAATCCCCTGGCAGGCAAGTAAAATCTAATATTTTACAGAGAAAATGAGGCTTGATTCACCTGAATATGCACATGCTGATTTCCCAGTTTATGGAGACTAAAGGAGATGAGGAAACCCAGTAGCTGTTTTGATTTCTTGTGAATGAGGTCAATCAAGAGGATTGGAGAAACTGCTCAGGAAATGTTAAATTAGCGTATCTAAAGGCAAACCAGTGGATCCCCAGTTGGTTGGCTAATCTTTAATGCTTTGACTACTACTGCTATTTCTGTTATTGGCCAAAGGTTAAATGTCAGCTTTCTATAAATATAATTGAATTTGTGAATAAATAGAAGCAAATGGGTCACATCGCTGTTAGAGCCCTTTAATTAGTATATGATTGTACTCTCCTGGAAGAGGTCATCTGTGATAGTACTGCAGCACAGTACTCATTGCACTGTACAGCTAATTAAATGAATTGCATGAACATGAGGTGGTGACAAGCTAAGAGGAAAAACGGCTGGTAACATCCTGTGAAATCTGCCAACTTTTGGATGAACTGAGACGACCTATGTGATTTACTCAGAGAATTCTTAAATACTTGTCCTTATAATATAGATTTATTCATCTCTTGAAGAACAGAGCCCGATACAATCCACAGAACAGGCTCCTTTTCACTGCACACAGGCCAGAAAAAAAACATCAGAGCCTTGCACTTAGTTTGATCCAACTAAAAAAGTGATACAACAACTGCTCTCTGGGGACCCCTTGCTGGCCTATCACCATAGATAGAGCTAGTCCTTTTCCAAACCAGGAAACCATCTGTGTGCTCTGGCATTTGGTAAAGTCATTCCTGACCTGAAGTGAGGTAAAAATGACTGACAACAGAAGAGATTGTGCAGGGCGATAAGTCTGGATAATGTGCAGGTACTATAAACATACCCTTGGCTGAGGCACTGACTGCAGCAACTTGCAGGGTACTTGTGTTGGGAACAGTCATTCAGTGTCATATATGGGTAAAATCTAGTCAGTTAAGAATGCACACAAACATTTGTATAAACCATGAATTAAAACATGTTTACATTTATCAAAGATACGCCAGTATAAAATATATTGATCAACACATTATTGTTCTTTGAGCGTTTTTTTTATAGCAAAAAAATTTTTTTGTTTGTTTGTTAGAGTAGTGATGGGGAAAAAC